TGTATCGCAATCAGAGCCACTATACACCACCGTTTCTCTTCTCGACATTCGACTCCAGTCGTCACCCTAACGCGCCTATCCCCCAGGCCTTCTCTACAAGACGCCAAACCCACCACAGACCCACTGTCAGCAAACAACCTCACCCCCCTCTCAGACATACTGTACATTATCCCTCCTCTCTGTCAAGCCCCCATCACCAACCTCATCCCCCTCTCACACATACTGTACATTATCCCTTCTCTCTAACAAGCGCCCATCACCAACCTTGCCTTCACTCATGATAGGACACCCATTCCTGACTCACTGTCGACAGACATTCATCCTTCTAACAGACTGTAGATATACCCTCTCTAGTATGACCCCAGCTCCACCCAAAATCCTACCCCTTCTCAGAACCCCTGTAAATAGCATCTTTCTTCAACTACAGAATGGTCCCTGAACCACATATTTCCTTTCCGCCCAGCGCTTTCTGGAATGGAAGAAAAAACAAACGAAGTCTTCGAACACAAGGGGGCTAGTATTCAAAGTCAATGGAGTTATATATTTCTGTGAAAATATGTATTTTCAAAGATTTAGCGTTTGTCTGGCTGCCCAATAACATTTTTACACTTTTCTTGTAGGACTGTAAATTTACACCCTCCCTCCCGTTAGTTCTGTGTCTGTCAGCGCCGGCAACAGTAGGATACCACCTCATGTAAACATTTCGAGTCTGGAGTACATGTAATTACCCAGAGGCTGTTGGCTGCATTCAATGCGGAGGGGGTTGGCGGGGAGGGGCAGGGGAACCAGGGTCGACTGACGCAGACCAGAACTCACCGTGAAGATAAAGTTGTAGACAAGTTAGTTACACCACGTGGTCACTTCTGGCGCAATCACGGCGAGCGAGCACGACTACAGCACCAGACGCTCAGCTTGAAATAATATTTTCTACGCTAGCAGACTGTTTTCCTTATCAGACTATGATAATACCCCAACTGTACATTGATTTTTACATGTGGAACATTAGGTCTGGCAATGAAAGTTTTGTGTTCGCAGCTCTAACTAAATCATACTCATTCGGACGTAAAGTGAGCCGTGCCAGTTTCATTCGCTGGTCAGTATGTTGTCACGATCGCGTAAACTGAAGATCGCCGTGTTTCTTTATTTAGAATACGGGAATAAAAAGACTTAATTTGCTAAAAGGACCGAAAGACTTCAAAACATAATTGCTATCCTTTTTCTCATTTATGTCACGAAAACTGTTGGAGTATATACCGTACAGAGGTTTACAGTCTCTTCGTAGCAGCTCTCGGAGAGCGCTCACCAAGCTGCCAGACAAAACAGGAATCAAATAATGGGATTCTGGTGGACTTTTCTCGTTTTATGTATTAGCTCATGTTATTCATCGACTTCCATGGAAAGATAGCATGTTAGTAAACCGTAAATGATTAGAAATGTTTTGTGCATAGATAGCCAATTCCCGGGTGACAGGAAGGTAGTGGCAGATCATAGCGATGCGTGCCATGGGATACTGACTACTCGTATTCCGCTCTCCAGTACCGTAGTGTGACCAATATTCGGTGATTTGAACAGGAAAGATGGTAGATACAGATGCGGGAGTGAAAATAGTTGGGGGATGCGGGCGTTTCGGATGCTCGGAGATGTGTGAGACAAGGTGAAGTGATTATGCATTTCATCGATATAGTTAGGAAATTGTATTTAACTATCGTAAAGGGATTGCAGGCTTATGGCTAGGGGATGTTGTCTCGGCAACAAGGCGTCAGCAGGTATTGACATGTGCTTCAGTCACCACCGTAGTGGACCTCTCACCCCAGGCGTTCTCTGGAACATACCCCACCGCTAAACGATGCACTGTTAGGAAATTCTTTGTCTGTCATACAGACCCTGAAACAAATATTCCCAATGCAGCCCATGCAAGTCTAGAATGTGTGGCAAGTCTAGATTACCGCAGTTTTGAAAATGAAGTCTCTGGGCTCTTATTTTTTGTATTTAATTTTAATTCAAAACTTCTATTTTCTGTGAAATATGTTCATTTTAGAGAGTAGGATTCTCGGGAATTCTCAGCTTGACCTTCAAATGTACATACTGTTCCTTAACCGTCTTCTCTTGGATGACCCCATCGTCACCCAAACATTCTACACAAAATAGGCCACGCCTTCCCCCAGATTCCTTGTCAACAAGTACACCCAGCCTGACCTCATTACTGATTTACTACATCGTAAACCTTCACATCGCCCACGATCGCCCCGAAATCTACCCTAGATACGCCACGCCTACCCCCAGAACCCTTATCAATGAACACCCAGCCTCACCCTCTTACGTGTACAATGTAACGAAAACCTACATCTCATCTATGATCACATCGCCACCCCAAATCTACCCCAGATTGGCCACACCTACTTGCAGATCCCCTGTCAAAAAACACACCCACCCCATATAGGCCATCCGAACTCCCACCCTCACCCTCTGACGGATTTTTATGTATTGTAAACTTCATCCCCTAAATGATCCCGTCTCCACCCCAGATCTACCCGGGATACGACACCCCCCTCCCACTGACCCCATGATCCAGACCGTGGTAGACTGACGTGCCAATGCTAGCTTCAGGAACTGATTACAACCGAGATGGATGTGTAACGAAGTTAAAAGTAGCATTTCATCTGGTTAGGTATGAAATATGTATGTACTTGTCTTGCCGGGAGCTCCCGATGAAGGCACAGCTGTTTCCTGTATGCCATCAGTGCCGTGATGGATGGACCACCAGTGTATATATTGCGTTAGCACACTGACACAGCAAACATGTATTTAAATAGTTAATGCACTTGTTCAAGTTAATCTGTACAGTGTTACTCCAGTAAGTGATGGATAGTGACAGTGGTGACATCGGGCAGTTTTTATGTTCCCTTGGCGCTGGAGCTCTTGGAGACCCTTTTATCCTGCACCATGACTGTGGAATTATTTATTTTTAATTTATTTTTTACTGAAACCCAAGTAAGTTCATATCAAACTATCACAAGCCTAGTGTCCGTTATTTAAACAACAGTAGAGAAACGGGTATATATAAGATTACAATTATTTTAAAGAAATGTATTAAAGACTAAGTATAAGTTGAGAGAACTGCCACGACAGTGTGAGTGAGATGTTATAGCTTAACGCCGCTTTTAACTGTGTTCCAGTTATATCACGTTGTGTCAGCTTAATATGGGAGGCAAACCCGGAGTAATGCAAGTCTTTGACGTCTTTAACATTGGGGAAACCTATGAGCACGGATACGAAAATAACAATTCGGGAGAATTTGGGATTCGAACCCACGATAACCTCAACAGAGACTGTTACATAGGTATAGTTCTAAAATATCACAATTAGATGACAGTTGTTCGTTACTAATCACTTCTACATAGTTCTCTTCTACTGATGTTAACACACAAGAATAGGCATTGACTAAGATATAGGGCTTAACGGGTTTGTCAAGGCCTATGACTGGATGTGTTTGTTCTGTTTGTAATGTTTGTGCGCAGATGACTAAGGCGTGAGGTGTTAACTCTCGACAGATTAGTTTCTGTTTTTACACAATAATCTATGAACACATGGTATTACGAAACATCACCTGTAAGGTTGTATGTACACACGTCTGATGCCTGTTGAAGTAGCGGTTTTGCACCAAATGAAGATGTTTGAACATCCAGAAATAAACAGCTGCCAATATTACCAGCTCATTGTCCACGAACTGAGATAATTCACATCGGTGGTGGCGGGTTCTGGTACATGTACAACGTGGGAGTAACGAGGGGGGGCTAAACGACGCAGGGGAGTGCGAGCGGGGGATAGACGGAACGCCATTTGTGTAAAATATTAGAGTGTTCAGCCTGCCTGTGTTGCGATTAAACTAAAATAGGGTTTTCCGGACCGGATATATGGCGGTCAACGATGTAAGAATGAGATGTGCTTGAGTGATGTATATTTAAGTGGTGCGGATGCAGCGCGGAGTCAAACCCCGGGAGCAAGTCAATCTCTAAAAGTCGCATATTTGGTTCCAAAGTCAGAAAGGTCACCAATGTATTTTATCTATTTTGAGAGGTGACAATAATGTTGATCGGTTGGTCACAATGGCGGATGTGCACAACCTTCATCGGCGGCCTTACTGGTTGTGTGTTCATGAACTAGCATCGGATCAATGGCCGCATGGCATGCCATTGGTTACATTGGTAACCATGGTGATTGAGGAACAGAAAAGCAAAACAAATGTCGTAAAAAGCGATACGGTGGATCGGATGGTCATGTTTTGTGTCTTGGTTCGTGTGTTCGTGCCCCGTCAGCGTGCGATGTTGCAGTATATATCTGCCTGGGTTAATTACAGGAAGCGACATAATGTTGAAACAGATAAACAACACAAGACAACAAATCTTGTTTCGCTCTTAGCAAGATGATATTGCTCGCTCCTATTCCATAAAGTTGCATTATTAGTTTGCTTCGAGGGGCGGTGGGGTAGCCTAGTGGTTAAAGCGTTGGCTCGTCACGCCGAAGACCCGGGTTCGAATCCCCACATGGGTACAATGTGTGAAGCCCATTTCTGGTGTCCCCCGCCGTGATGTTGCTGGAATATTGCTAAAAGCGGCGTAAAACCAAAACTCAGTCAGTCAGTCAGTTTGCTTCGATTGATAATATATTGTGTCTTAAATTATCTTACGTTCTCCATTTCACTGTCTCTATGATATTGCTGGAACCATATTGATGTGGCTCCTGTTCCATAAAGATCCATTATTAAATTGCATCGGTTGATAATATATGTTGTATCTTATGTTATCTTACGGTCCCTCTATCTCCTTCAAAGATTTGAAAGTATAAAGGATACAATTATTTACGATTAACACACGACCTTCCAGTAGAACAAATGTATATAACCTTCAGCTCGATTGTCAACACTAACTAACAATTGTCTATATCATAATTGGTGGTATGTGTAATGCCCATGTAATTATTATCGCTGTTGTCTGTTGCAGGATGCCGCTACCACCGCTGTTCCTGACGCTGCAGGGTGTTATGCTGCTGGTGGGGGTAGGATCATCCCCCTCGATACCAAACCCCACCCCTGGGGAATACAACTGTCCAGGCCGTCCTTGTGACTGTATCTGGCTGAAGGAGACGGGGGAGGTGTTCCTCGACTGTTCCTGGTCCTCTCTACCCAACAAGGAATACTTTGCAACCATCCCTAGGAAGAAGACAGTGTACTTGACGCTTACCTGTGCAAGCCCGGGACGCAGTCCGTTATGGAACTATATGTTCAGTCAGTTGAGCGAGCTCAAACAACTAACCATCAAAAACTGCGGCTTCACCGACATCCCTCCTTATGTGTTCTCTGGGTTATCCTCCCTTCAAGAGCTACAGATAGAGGGCGCTGAACTCACCAACATCCATCCACGCTTCCTGGACTCCGTGGTCAGTCTCCGAGCTCTACGCATCATCAACAGCGACCTGAGTCACATGCCCTCCATCTGCCATCTCGACTACATTCACAGCCTCAACATCTCCAACAACGCTATTTCAAGTCTGGACAACGCTGGGATCCTGTGTGGGGGTAATGAACTGGAGTCGCTCGAGATCCTAGATGTAAGTGCCAACATGATCACAACTATCCCAGTCATGCTGGGATATTCACTGCCCAACCTGAAGCGCCTCACAGCATCAGACAACTTCATCAAAAAGATAGAGACTGACTCCTTGAACCGTCTCTCTGATCTCATCTGGCTTGATCTGACCAACAACTCTTTGACAGAGATCGCCTCAGATTTTGTCAAGAATTGTAGTGAACTCCTAGTGTTTGGCTTGTCTGACAACCCACTGCGTGGGATTCCGAAAGGCCTCGTATCAGGTATGTCAAATATCATTCAGCTCAACCTGGACTTCGTCAATGTGAATGACAGTGTGTGGGAAGAGATCGCACGCCTACCCGCGTTGGACACTCTCTCTCTCGCTGGGAACAGACTGTCACGTGTTGACCCGGATGCCTTGGCGGAACTGCCAGTGTTATCGTACCTGAACGTGTCGCACAACCGAATAGACAAGTTGTTCAGGAACACATTCAAGAAGCAACAAAGACTCTTTATCTTGGACCTATCTTATAATAACCTTACCACTATTCCTCGCCAGGCATTTAGGAACCTTTTCAGTCTGAAGACTCTGGACATATCACACAACAAGCTTCAGTCGGTTGGGAAGGAGGCGTTCCCGGGTCTGTTAAATCTGAAACAGCTGGACCTGAGCTACAACCGTCTGGATGGACTTCCCCGGGGGCTGCTGTCAGATATGCAAGCCCTCCTGAAACTGAATCTCTCCCACAACAGTCTCAGCAAGCTGCCCAACCTGGAGCATGCAGACTTATTGGAATATCTGGATCTCAGTTATAATGAACTCACCGTTCTCAATTCTACCACCTTTAGGGCCCTCACGTACCTACGAGGGCTGACCCTCAAAGCTAATCAGCTCCGCACTCTGCCTCCATACGTCTTCGAAGACGCGGTGAACTTGGAACTCCTCAATATGGCCAATAATCATCTGAGCAACCTGACTGAAGACATGTTCCGGGGACTGTCGTCTTTGTATTATCTTAACCTCAACAAGAACAGACTGTCGGGGACGACGGGAGCGTTCCGGGAACTGCAGGATCTCCAGCATCTCCATCTACGGGGAAACCAGCTGGAGGAGATCTACAGAGGTCAGTTCCCGGACTCGCTGGAAATCCTGGATCTCAGTCAGAACCGTTTGAACTATATCTCCCACTCCACGTTCAGGACGATGCTATATCTTAAGGAGGTGAGGCTGACTCTGAACAACCTCACATCCCTGCCCTCTATCGCAGTGGAGCTGCCAAGAGACATGAAACCTGTTGCTAAAATGTACATCAGTTCCAATCCATTCCAGTGTGACTGTGAACTAGGCTGGTTGAAGGACCTCAATGAGGGTCAGCTTACAAGCTACGGAGCGTCCCTGCCCGTGTTCCCTGACTATCGCTTCACAAGGTGTATGAGCGTATACGACAGAGCCCCTAGGGTAATACCAAGAGTCCCTAGGTCCCATTTCTTGTGTGAATATGCTGTCAAGTGTGCCCAAAACTGTCCATGTTGTGGATTCGACGCTTGTCACTGTAAGTACGTGTGCCCAAACAAATGTAAATGTGTCATTGGAGACTCGCACTACCCCGTCCACCGCATGCACTGTGAAGCCCAGAACTTGACCACCATCCCACCGCATCTCCCCACTGGAACTACGGAGCTTATGATGGACCATAACAACATCCAAACTGTGCAACAACACACCTTCTTGGGCCTGACGGAAGTCCTAGTGCTGCATCTCAACCACAGCAACATCCATCACATCCAGCCCAGGGCATTCATCGGCCTCAAGTCACTGCAGACTCTGTACCTTAACGATAACTATCTGACAGTCATTGGCGCGGATGTATTCATGGGCTTGACAAACCTGAGTCATTTGCATTTGGAGAACAACAGATTATCATGGATAGAGAGCGGCTCTCTCAGATTATTGTCTAATTTGCTTTATCTGAACCTACAGGAAAATGACTTTGAGAATATTAGTATCAACGAAATCTCGCCTCTCATGAATCATTCTAGAGTAGCGTTAGCATTTAATCCGTGGTCGTGTCAACAAGACTTTATATGTGCGTTCAGAAAGATGCTTATAGGTCATGGTCGATCTGTGCTGGACGCTGTGCACATCCGATGCATGCTGGAGGGGGATCCGCTCGCCCCGGGAGAGAGTGCTACAGTAGCGTTCCTGGAATACTCCGAGCAGTCGTTGTGTGAAGCCAACAGCACTTTCTTCATCAACGTGTCCTTTGACAGTGTCGTGAAAGTAGGGGACACTACCCAGTTGACACTGTTAATAGCAGTTAGTGCTGGTGTGGCTGTAGTGGCGGTTCTGGTGCTCATCCTTATAGCCAAGAAGGACCTTCTGCAAGTGTGGTGTTACTCTAGGTTCGGGTGGAGACTATTCTCCAAGGATCCTACAGCAGGTGACGCCAACAGGTACTATGACGCCTTTGTGTCTTGTAGTGATAAAGACGAACATTTTATCATCCATGAACTGACGCCCAAACTTGAAAATGGGGATAAAAAATTTAAACTGTGTTTACATTTCCGGGACTTCCCGGTAGGAGCTTCAATAGCTGAGACAATTGTCCGCAGTGTGCAGAGTAGTAAGAGGACTATCATTGTGCTATCCGACAGCTTCCTGGACGACGAATGGTGCCGTTTTAGTTTCACTACGGCTCATCAGCAGGTGCTGTCTGAGATGAAGAACAGACTCATCGTCATCGTTATGCACGACATCGACGAACGGAGGCTCGACCCTCAGATTAAACTTTATATGAAAACTAGGACATATTTAGAATATAAAGATCCCTGGTTCTGGGAAAAATTAACGTATGCTTTGCCTGATGTGCAGGATCGATATGTTGATATGAAGGGTGCATACGCTGTCCAAAATGTTATCCGGCATCCTGGAGACGCCTTGCCCGGTGTCTACAACAACGGTCGCATCAGCGTCATTTCAGAGAACGTAGTGAACGACCTATACGAGGTCCCTGTATCGTCAGTGGTGTATCAGTCCGTAGGTAGCGCCCATCATACAGACTCGTCTAACTATAATGGCTCCTACTATAACTCATCCGGGCACTACGAGGAGGTTGAGCCCCTCCCCTTCAGACCACGTGACGCTCAGGTAGCGCCGCCCTTGCCCAAACCAAGAAACCAAGACTTCTATGGAGCGTGTTACTACGAAAGGGCGTAGTACACCTAAATAAAACGGATGTAGTCATCTACGTTTTATGTCCAGTGCACCCTGCTTATGTGGCTGTCAATGAAAATGTGTGATTTCAAAACGCTTCCAAGATCCATTTATACTAAGTATTATGAGTTGCCATGGTTACCAGAACACGTGTGCCAAACTAGAACCACGAATGTCCAGTGCATCACCACTGCAGACAATACTCATTGTATTATTTCACTGTGATCGGTTGGCTTTTCTTCAGTTCATCAATGCAATATGTCCAGTATTAAAAGTATATCAGTGAACAATGCTGTCCTGGCCCACGGGCTGGACATTATCCTGGGGACATATACTCACGTGGAGGGTTAGTGCTGCTTTGCCTGAAGCGGAAATGGAATAAAGCTTGGACTGGATGTTTCATCTGATATTGTGATTAGTATTATGTACGCAAATATATAAAATATTTATTCCGGGGAATTTGTTAGCCAATGTGAAATCTTGCCATGTTGGAAAAGACTGGTACGCTTTAATCAAAGAGTTCACCTTTAATGAAAACAGTATCTGCAGACAATGTAACATGAAGGGAACCGAGGTTATTACTTTGTGACATGAAGTATTTTGTTCTCCGTTCTCTGAACACTTGTGCGTTTCTTTTGCAGTACAGTATAATGACTTGACTGTCATCATCCAGGTGTAAGTTATGTATGATTCTGCAATATTTTATGTATAACTTGGGTCTGATGCTGATCCATATATCTTGTTGTTATTATTATTGTTATTTAAATAAAGTAATGTCAGTGTTAACTCGAGATTGATTGTCTTTCGTAGCAAAATCGATGTTAATCAGAGATGGGTTTTGTAGATTTCGGGGAATAAATGCCTAAAAAACCACACCGACGCAAATTCATACGCATTTCCTCAATCAATCGGCATTTCCAGATCGGTCGGTGAGAACAATTTCACATGGATTCAGCTTACTTAGATGAGATGTCAAGGAGGTGAAACGTTTGATTCAAGATGACCACGGGCGTTATGGGGGTAATGATTACACGTCGATACATTATTGGATTCCACGACCATTCATTACAACACAGGGGCGATAGCGTATAGAGGCTGAAAATACACGGAACAAATTATATGTAAATTTCTGATGGGATTTTTGCGTGAATGCGCTAAAAGAGAATTTATGATTCAATTGAAACGTATTGTACAAATCGTTATGGATTTTATGCGCCTGAGCGATAGCTTCGACTATGTGATTTAGCATTTAAATTTGATAGAACGCAATGTCGCTTCGAAGTGGGAATCGTGTGTGGATAATATTTGCCGCTGTGTTTGAAAAAGCTAAAGAATCTGAAAGTCAGCTGTGGGAAGTATCTGATAAGAGGCTTCTGCAGGCACTGGCGGACGGTGACCGATAGTGACCCGTTGCTGACCTGTCCGCAGTCATTGTTTACGTAAATGTATATTTGACCAACGCTGGCTGTAGATAAGTGTAAGGCAGTATCTTCCGGGTATATATATATATCCGAGAAAGTCGAAATACCGGGTGTGTACTTCACTGACAGCTCTCGCACATATGACAGTTACTTCACACTTCACGTTTCGGCTAATCCCAAGATTGCTTTTGTAATAAACCTGAAACATGTAAGACAGGTTAAAATAATTCATTAAAGGAGGGTTTTTACGCCGTTTTTAGCAATATTCCAACAATATCGCGGCGGGGGCTTATGGTTTAAGCGTCCGCACGCCTTAGTTCGTGTTCTCTTTACCACATGAGCACAATGTGTGGAACCCATGGAACCGTTATATAGTGAGAAGGGCAGTAACTAATCGGGACTGACAGGAAAACTTGGGTAATAACTCTAGGGTGAGTGAGTGAATGTGCTTTTACGCCGCTTTTAGCAATATTCCATTAATAGCACGGCGGGGGACACCAGAAATGGGCTTCACACATTGTACCCATGTGGGAAATCGAACCCGGGTCTTCGGCGTGACGAGCGAACGCTTTAACCATTAGGCTACCCCACCGCCCCTAATAATAACACAGGGGTGGGTAGTAGTTACACAGGGGTGGTAGTAGTAACTGAGGGGTGGGTAGTAGTAACACAGGGGTAGTAGTAACTGAGGGGTGGGTAGTAGTAACAGGGGTGGGTAGTAGTAACTGAGGGGTGGGTAGTAGTAACACAGGGGGTAGTAGGTAGTAACACAGGGGTGGGTAGTAGTAACACAGGGGTGGGTAGTAGTAACTGAGGGGTGGGTAGTAGTAACACAGGGGGGTAGTAACACAGGGGGGTAGTAGTAACACAGGGGGTAGTAGTAACTGAGGGGTGGTAGTAGTAAGTAACACAGGGTGGGTAGTAGTAACACAGGGGTGGGTAGTAGTAACACAGGGGTGGTAGTAGTAACACAGGGGGGTAGTAGTAACACACACGGGGGGGTGGGTAGTAGTAACACAGGGGTGGGTAGTAGTAACACAGGGGTGGTAGTAGTAACACAGGGGGTAGTAGTAACACAGGGGTGGTAGTAACACAGGGGTGGTATTAGTAACACAGGGGAGGGTAGTAGTAACACAGGGGTGGGTAGTAGTAACACAGGGGTGGTAGTAACACTGGAATATTATAGTCAGCATTGTTTACACGATAGGAAGACAATTTTCAAAATATAATAAATGTTTTATTCATAAATATCTGTCATCATGGTTTTATTGTAATGCACAGGGAATCAAACTGCACCAACTGGCGTGTTGTGACAGATCACGTGTCATGAATAGCTCTGGTCTCTTTTAATGAAGAAATTATCCACGAAAGGGCCCATGCCTGCACGATATTCTATCACAGTTTCTAGGTAACGTCGCAGCAATGTCCCAGTTGTATGATGACCGTCTGTAAATAACTGAGGCTGTACCAGACATCACAGGCATTGATCTGTGCATTTTAGATACGATGACATGCATGAACCAAGTCCCGTTATACTGCACTGACGTGATGACTGATGCAGTGCTATTAGGACTGGAGAGACGATGTTTGATGTACAAGGCTAACCTAGGTTGTATTCCCAGCAACACGAATAATGGCAAGGAACCTCTTGAAAAATAGTTATGTGTTCGATTTGACTAGATTAGAAATGTCTTTATCTTTAAATGAAACAGTGACAATACAGGGGTTCTTGAAAATAATCCGTGAAGGTCCGGGTTAGAACTGATCTTCAGCAACCCATGCTTGTCGTAAGAGACGACTAACGGGATCGGGTGGTCAGGCTCGCTGACTTGGTTGACACATGTCATCGTATCGCAATTGCGTAGATCGATGCCCATGCTGGATTGTCTGGTCCAGATCCGATTATTTACAGACCGCCGCCATATCGCTGGAATATTGCTGAGTGCGGCGTAAAACCAAAATCACTCACTCACTCACTCACTCTTGAAAATATAAGTTTACCTCTGTCACCCGGCCATAATCCGAAATTCAAAAACACATGTAAAGGCAGGTCAATCAACTGACAAACACACGATAACATTGTGAACATGCTATCGCAAGTGACATAAACAAATTAATTACATTTTTTGCATCAAATTTTGAAAGATGTTTCTCATATACGATATCGTCTACGATAAAACGTTTGGAAACTGTTCGTAAGCTTACTAAAGCCTGGTATGCAGTAACCCGGATGAAAACCAAAGAGAGCATGCTTCCATGACGCTCTTTGAAATCTTAGTAGAAAGACAATGGTCGATTGCACCCCAAACGCTGTGAAGTGTACACACCAGAGACAGTACAAAGACATTCTGTGATTACTTATTTGTCAGTCTGAATGTTTGTGCATTGATCTAAATAACATTAACAGATGTGGCGGTTTTACTTGTCACAATTTCACGGGTTGCTGATATGTCCTGCTTCGGTATGTATGTCGAAAGCACTGGCCATCATGACCCATGACCCCAACAGGCTTTTACTTTAAGCATGAATAAACATTGAGAGAGACTCTATATTAAGATGAGTATGGTTTAATGACTTAAATAGCACTTCAATTACATCAATGGCTTAATTACATTACGGCTTAATGATGGGGCATCCCGCGAAGATCTGGGTTAGAATTGATCTTCAGTAACCCATGCTTGTCGTAATAGGCGACTAAAGGGCTTTGGTGGTCAGGCTCGCTGACTTGGTTGGCACTTGTCATCGTATCCCAGTTGCGCAGATTGATGCTCGTGCTGTTGATCACTGGATTGTCTGGTTCAGAATCGACTATTTACAGTTTAACGCCGCTTCCAGCACTATTCCAGCAATATCACTATAAATAGGCTTCACACACTGTACCCATGTGGGGAATCGAACCCTCTATTCATAAAAAAAATGTTAGTCTGACCAAATATAGACATATAGAAGCTCATGCTGTTTTAGATATCCTTGGAAAAACGTAACACTTAACTGAAAATTCAGTTCTTCCAACTATCGCGACCACAACCAACATTACAATAAGACCTGAGACCTTTCTTCGCAGATTAAGCCGTTCAGTGACAGCGAGAAAAGCTAACCGTGCCTATTATTCCAAAATATGCTATTAGCATTTGAAATGAGATTAGTATTCATGTCCTTTCGGCTCCTTCACTAAACTTTTCTAACAGAACAAGGACCAAAAATTAACAGTTTTGTCCCCCTCCCTCAAATCGACCCCCCGAGCTTTATCTGTGTTGACATGGAAAACTGCCATTTATCATGGCTTAGGGACACTGGGGGCACAATATGGCCGCATGGCATCATCTCAACCAATTAAAACGTGGCACCGAGGGCGAGAACAAATGCATCCAGCTCACGCAATAGATCGGCCTTGGTGATTCAACGTTAACGACACAGTTGACGGCAGTTAGCCGCCTCGCTTTGCTCCATGCGTTAAACTGCCTGCATGGAATTTGCATAATTACGAGACGGTGATACATCAAGGATGGCGCTCCCCGATTGCAGACAAATGCTTTAATGGTTTAATATCGATGTTTTGATCGCGTGTTTTGCATCTTCAAGGAACAATAGGGCAACTACCGTCATTTCCTAATCGAGTACTTTCCTTAAATACCCTCCATGTTTAAAATATTTCTATTTCAAGATGGCTCATGTAAATTAGGGAGCAAGATTTTTTCTCAGCCTGCTAAATGAAGTTATATAACTTCCCCTTCCCCAGAGCGTACACTTCATAAATAATTCACCTTTATTTCACTCGCATCCCTTTCTTAGCTCCAGCAACCTATATTCAACCGCTTTTCATCTCACGAGTTAAGAAACTTGATGCATCTTTAATACTCGATTTATTAATATATTCCTTTATACAATTATTTTTATCTAACTTTATCCAGTACTTTATTTGGGGGCTATATGTTAGCCTAATGATATCCATACAATTTACAGTATGATTATTGTAACCGATTCCCTTGAGCCAGCATCAGTTCTGTATGGGCACAGGCGCTGTTCAAATACACACGGGACAGAATAGTCAGATCAGAGACGGTGAAGGCGAAATAGGATTAAACGTCGCATAGATGATTACTGAATTTACAACTTAACATCTATGCATGAGTGTTGTGCGCGTGGTTGCGTGCTTTCGTGAGATTGTTAGACCGATGTGTGCATATCTTCCTCATATGTACTCTCCCAAAAAAGAAACGCATATAGGAATTTCAACTGTATTTTTATGTTTATTTTGAAACATCTTGTAGGCTTTATGAGTCAATGAAATATAGCGAAATTGCACACTGGAAATGCAGACTTATCCGTCTTTGGCACCAACTCGAGGAAAGTTAGTTTGAGTGT